TGTCTCCAACTGATTTTGAGTTTTGTTCCACGTTGTTCTCCCTTTCTATCCGGGATCTCCTACATAGATCCCACTCTGAGTGATTGACAGTGGTAGCTGGGCATCATCTAGTTCTTCTGGTCTCATAGTTGTATAGACTGAGAATCGCATGGTGTACTAGTCACAAGGACTAATTGTTTCCATGAATTTTTGGTTTTCTTCCTTCTTCTTTGCTCTGGATGAGGAAAGACCCATTATTGCATCTAGATGGCTGCTTGCAAGCTTTTAAGATCCCAGTTGCTACTCAGCAAAGTAGGAGGTGGAACAATGTTTTGTGTAGTATGTTATACCAATTGAGCTTGATGTCCCCTGAGACTATGGTCCTGAGCCCACAGGTTCAACTACTAGGACCCTCTGGGTAACTGGCTGTGACCAAGAAGTGACTACAACCTTGCCCCGTGTTAGTTCTACTATACACCTGGGAATTCAGATCATACAAATAAATATATAGGACCACTGTCTGCCAATACCATACATGTCTTGGGTACACTCCCCGCTTCATAGACATACCTACTAGTTCAGCCTGTCCACCTATCTATCCACCCGTATACCCATGTTTGCCTTCACTGACAACACAGTACTGTATGTGCAAAAGGTTCATCTTTGTTGTCTGTACCTCCCCTGTACAGAGGCAAAATTCTTGCCTTCCATGTGGGAAACCTGAATTAAATTCCTGATCAATGCACCTAAGGTGTAGCCACCACCTGTCTGCCTGCAGAGGTTTATATGTTGCTGTGGTGCTAAACAGGTTTCAGTAGAGCTTCCCGACTAAAAAGGACCAGGAAGAAAGTCCTGGTGACCTACTTTCAAAATCAGCCAATAAAAACTCTATGGATTACAATGGTCTGATCAGCAAAGGATCATGGGACTGTTGCAGGATCAAGCAACATATTGTTCCATCATGTATGGGATCACCATGAAAATGGGCTTACTTAATGGAAGCTAACAGCAGCAGCAACAACAGTAGTATATTAGAGGCAAACCTATACACTTTAAAAACTTAATGTCAATCATATAATGTGGAAATTTTGTGAAGTTTATATTTAGTCAGTATAATCTGAAGAACATGATCACAGAGACTGCAGGATCCCAACGCAAGTGATATTTCCACATCAGGGTGATGCATTTTACTTTCTATCTGTGGTAGTTAAATTTCTGTGTCAACTTGGTTGGGCCTGGTTGAGTGTCTGGGCAGCTGGATGTAGTATTCCCCATAATGAGACTGGTTATCAACTCCATTGTGGAATCTACTGTGAGCACCTGAGTAGCTGCCTTTGGCATATGGGCTGCTTCCCGTATATAAGGAGATGCCTTGGGGAATGGTCTCTAGCTTATGGCACACTTGAACCCTGCATGTAGCCCTGTCATTGTTCAGCAACCTGCCATGCTCTGCCTACATTGGGACTTTCAATGGACTTGAATTAATGTCCTACCATGTGGTTTGGTAACATCATGGCTGTGCTTTTTTACATGTCAATCTTGGGGTTGTCAGCCTCAGCAGCCAGCAACTGAGTGAAGAAAAGCCTCCGGCTTCAGTGGGCAAGGAGCAGGAGGCAGAGCTGAAGGCCAAAGTTGAGGGGCTTTCACCCAGCCCCTAGAGTATGGCACTTTGAACTTGGACTTAAAGCCTCCAAATTATAAGAATAAACTCCTGTTTGTTAAGGCCATCCCATTTATGGTATATTCCTATCAGAGTGCCACTGTTGTTGTTGTTATGTACCGTTGAGTTGGACCCAACTCATAGTGACCCCTCCTTGGGTTTCCGAGGCAGTATCACCATGGAAGTAGATTGCCCAACTTTTCTTCCGAGGAGTGGCTGGTGGGTTTGAACTGCCAGCCTTCTGGTTATCAGTCAAGTGCCTTAGGCACTATGCTACCAGAGCTCCCGGAGTGCCAATAGTAACCAAAACACCATCAAACCAGAGATAGCAAGGATCTCTTCAATTTTTCATATGTGAATGAATAAATCCAAGTATTCTCAGAGAAAACAAACCATTGAGCAGATTAAAGTTGAAAGGGGCAGAGGGTGGATAGGGAAAGAAAGGTGTGGGTAGGTGCAGCACGTAGGATAGAAGTCACAAAACTACAAAGCTTTTAGCTGCAGGGTAAAATGTTTTAAAGCTATGGCTCCTTCCTCTCAGCTGCTAATCTCATAATGATTCTAGAATGTCAAACTCTTAAGTCTGTAAATTTCTTGTGCTGAGAGCCAATGTCAGACAAAAGGCATGTACCCCAAAAGTCAATCTTTTCCCCTTTGGCCTCTGAAGTTCTCTGCAGGAAACCTTAATTACTGAGTACCTCTACCCGCAAGTGAGGTAAATGCCACAGATCTGTTCTTAGCATTAAGAGGTTGCTGGTGTATTATTTTAGGCTCAAAGCCTAACAGCACCACAGAACCTTCCAGCCATAATTCAGGAAGAATGCTTGAACCAGACATTGAGTCAGTCTGCTCGTCCATTCACCTCTTTCTCTTACTAGTTAGCATTTCTGCCTTTGCGTTTCTTCAAGCAGAATGTAGTGTATCAAAGGAAGCAAAGAAAACTGCAAGACCTACAGAGCACAGCCTTCTGGCCCCCTGGTTTGGGCAAGGCAAGATTCGCTCTATGATTAGGGCTGGGAAGGTTACAAGGAGATGAAACACTCTAGTTGAGAAAACTTGAAAACAAAGGCTGCTCCTTCTCTTTCTTGATCACCCTATGGAAGGCTGCCCACGGAAATACACAGAATGAGAGCTCATAATTGTCTGAGAAACCAGTGAAATGCTTTTATTGCTAGAGTACAAACCACCTGACCCATGATCTCAGGCAAGTTTTCAGGGCTCCCAAAAGATTGTTCTCACTGTCTGCATGTTGCTCTTTGTAGCAAAGGAAGCACATTTGCCAAAGAATGTGCTGCAAAATAAATAACTCTGTTAATTCTTGAGACTAATCTGGGGCTTCCCTGGAGAATTGAAGTTCACGTGTATAATTGCCCTAAACATTTTATATAATGAGCCTCTGAGTTTGTACTTCTCAACACAAATTAGAGCTGATGTAGGCTGAAAGAAAAAAGAAAACAACTATGTGAGATAATAATAATAATAATAAAAACATCAGCACTGTATTTCATGGGGTACCACAGTATCTCGTGTATTGTGGTCTTCCAAGTGTATAGTGAGGATAGTAGAGGAAGATGTAAAGCATGTAGCACGTAGTAAATCCAACACAGTCTTGATTATTTAAATGCATGTTTTATGGGTGAAATCACAGTCTACCGAACCCCATAGAATGTTCCATGGTAGAGTTGTAACAAGACTTTGTTAAAAAGAATAACTGGCTACAGATTATATTTTCATTCTATAGTAGGTGGAAATGTGAAGAAATCCGACTTCTTTAACAAAATCAAAGGTTTTTAAATGAGAAAATGAAAGAAATGCTCATACAATGAACTCCTGGTTTCAAAAACTTCTCTACCTATAAGCTTTCAATTTAAGAAATACAACTGTGATTTTTTTCCTTTGTAGTAATTGATGGCTTTAAATCATCAAAAATGACGTTAGAGAGAGTTAAATTTACACTTTCTTGTTTTAATGAGATGTGCATTTTAAAAATATGAAGTAAAGCTTGAGAGGATATACCATGTGATGAAAACAGCTCTGGCTTGGGAGGCAAATGGTTTGAAATCTGGGCTGCACTACTTAAAATGTGTGTGGTT